TTTCCTCCACGTGAGCCTCAGCACAAAACCGTGTTTCATGCAACAAGCCTTGCTCTACCATAAGCCTTAGCACACAAGAGGCATATGATCACCATATGATCATAATCCGAAACGTGCATACTACAACAAGAGTGCATTTATACTATCATATGATGTTTGGAAATTAAAGTAAAGAACCCTGCCCAATGTGACACTCATTGTTTGTCATAGGATGGGTTCTTTCTAACAGCCATTTTGTTTTGTGCACTGATTCTCTTTTGGGGCCATCAGCATGCTCATGCTGCTTAAACAAATTCATTCCAAAACAATTTTCTGAATGCGTGAACCGAACAAGAATCGAAAAGGCACTTGCTTATAGGATCATCCAAGCAGTATCACGGAACTTCAAGCAAGCCCATGAAACCAATCCAAACCATCAACACAAAGCAATAAGCAGTACCAATAAACCGATCCAACCCAACAAAACCTTGCAAAACCTAAGGTATCAATAGACCAGTCTAAAACAAAAAGAATTTGCATCTGAAGGTGTGATATCTTTGTTTTATCTTGTTTTTGATGCTCATTCATTCGATGCAGGGTATGTATTTGAGCTCTCTGATTCAAACATTTACTTGTATGTGTGTGTGTCTTGCATGTTTGAAACCTGCCCCACTGATAGCTGCTAAGGAGTTCAAATGGTGGTAAGGGGTGGGGTGCCGGGTGACAGCTGTACCATTTCTACTATATATATATATGGTTGTTGGACCCGAAGACAAGCAGTCTTGCCAACATCGATCCAACCTATAGCTGCTGTGTCGCAGGCCTTTGCGAGCCTTTTTTTCTGCGGAACCTTGAAATGCTGGATTCTGTTTGGCACTGTGGATTCAGAAAGCGGTCATCAAAAAGGCCCCCAGCGCCATGCAAATGCCTATGCATTGGAACCACTAGGCTTCAAACCGACACCCACGTCGTCATTGCGGCAAAAGTGGGTGAGAGCATGGGGATAGTCTGATAGTTCAAACCGATACGGTAGTTCTTATGAAAAGCACCTGCCAACAAAGAGCTCAACTCCAACGGCAATGAACATGTAAAAACATATTGGCGCAAAATCCTGCAAAAACCACTACAGTATATACAGGCACCTGACGAAGTCACCCCTCAGTCATCCCTGGTCACTGCTTCAATGCCAAACACCATGGCAACGCTGTTTCCAAAAAGTCATCCCCCAGTCACCCCCAGGAGCCAACCCCCATGGAACGCTCATGCCCAAACAAGGTTTGTTACCACAAAAGCCGACCCAAAGAGCGCAAATACCAATGGAACGCTAGTTCTGAAAGAGTGTGGGTTTGATTGATTTACATCCGCTTCCTGCGTGTCAATCCCAATAATGGAGCGCTGTAGAAATTCTGCCACCAACTTTAGACACATCAGGTGACTCGACTTGAGGCGACGGAGGTGGATGAAAGGTAGAGGGTTGGAAGTCTCTGAGACTCTGAGCAGGAGCAAAGCAGCCAGCAGCAGCAGCAGCAGCAACCCAGCAAAGCAGCAGCAGCAAAGCAAAAAGGTAGCAGCACACAAGCAGCAGAACACCAGCAGCAGCACACGAACAGCAGCAGCAGGAGGATGATGGCTCTGGGCGAGATCCGGGCGAGGTCCAAAAACTGCACACCCCCGACCAAAAACTATGCCAAGCCTAGACAGTGGCAGAAAAGCGGTACCAGCAAAGCGCGCACTACCACAAACATCTCACAGCAACACCCTGCAAATAAGAACCCCACTAGCTCTCCCAGTAGCTCTCGCTATCTTGGCGTAATCTGTCCAAGTCCACAGGTGTTCCATTGCGAACTGCACTGGCAAGCCTGGAAATGACTGTGTTGCTTCCTGTACTTGTCTCGCATGTATGTGGAAAGTTCCTTGTGGACCGCTTGCAGGACCCACTACAGAACAAGAAACGCATTGCTTCAGCAGGCATTATTAACCCCTTATGAGTTGCCAGTACAGCGTTAAAACACCGTTGGATGAGAGCCCCAGCATACAACCTAAAAGTAGGTCCCTTTCCAACCAACAGAGTTCGCTTGCGTTTGAGAAAAAGAGGCGACTTTCCGCGGAGCCTTCCGCCCAAGGCAGGGTAGCAATCACTCAAAAAGAGTGGCGACATTGTCTTTTGCCTGTATATATATATATATACCCTTGAGATGCATAGACATCACTAGTTGACTTGATGCTCTTGGTTGACTCGATCGGAACGCAAACCCGCTCCGGACGCCGAGATGTTTAGCTCAGCATCCCAAGCATTTCAAGTCACAACTTTGCAGAATAAGGGCACCAACAGGATCAGCTTCGCCCTGCCCAAGGAAAGTGACCGAGTTGACTGCATGTTAGTTCAGTGGAAGATGGGAACGGTTTCGGGGTGAACAAAGAAGATATGTTTCACCTCTTGGTTGTCAATCTTGCTTCAGTGGCTGATATCGAAAGTCCTACAGGGTCAATCGTAGTGTTGGAAGCAACCTAGCTTCATTCCTGGTCAGGAAGGAGAAGGTTGAAGGAAGGGGAGGAAGAAGATGGCTCTATATACCAACAACAGCTGCTGCGCAGCTAATCGCTGAATGCGCATCGATTCAAGGGATGCCTTGAGACAGACAGTCAGAGCTCAGCAGATTCCTGACGGGTCCAATTAGTGGCACACCATGCCCAAAGAGATGCCAGCTGCAGTTGTTGCTGATCTGCTGCGAAGAGCAACAATCGAGCAAAGATTGGGTCAAAAAGACCCCCTTGCAACACCTCCAAACACACCCAACACATGGTGAAACAACCAGCTCACCACAACTGCTTGCCCTGAGCTATAGTGCATTCACACGATCTCTCGCCTTAGACTGCATCCTGTGTATATAATTGCGGCAAACCGGTAGAGAAACACACACAAAAAACAGTACTCTTCGACCTGGAACACCGAACATTGCCAGCTTCAATTCCGAACGTGTGTGGAAAGCTCTTGAAGCACATGCGGAACCAAATGCGAAAGGCTTATGGCAAAGATCCATTGGGAGTGCCCGAACACCAAACTACCTCGACTCATTGATAATTGAGGTTCTGGTAATTGTGGTGGTTCTTAGTAGTGATTCCGAATTGGGTATGTCCGGATTGCGTCACATTGAAATTGAAATGCAGCGGCCTCTCTGGCAGATGGTGACTCAACACTTAAGAAACTTCAGGGGTGTGGTGCGCTAAAGATATGTGACATGTCTCCATGGAGGGCCTTTCTCGCCTTGCTGAAATTGAGTCCTTGGTCTGACATAATACAATGCCTTAGACTCCTCTTTTCGCAGGGACAAGAAGAACCCTTGTTTTAGTTCAAAGGAAGCTAAAGTAGCTTCAGTCCGAGTCGAGCATCTAGCTCCCCAGACTGATAAGAGACCAGGCAAACATAGCAATGTGAGATAGACCCAGAGGACCAACGCTGAAAAAAGAACTATTATCTCCCAACTGCACTTGTAGCTAGTTGCCATCTCTGGTGGTGGGCCAGGTGCGTCTTGGGGGCAGAATAGAAGGACGACGTGCAAATAGATAGACTTGGACGCTGCTGAATGTAAAAGAATGGCAAACACATCAAAGTCAAGGATTAGGTGTCCCAACGCAGGCACAAAGAGCTTGGGAAATTGATGTACCAGCTGTACAAACTGGGTCCAGCTAGGCTCACTGAGGCACCGGTCAGATGCAGAAAGTCAATTGTCGATGCAACTCGCAATCCTGTTCTCTTGTCCAAAACAACATGGCCGCAAACCTCTTGCGGACAACCAATGAAACTTCAAACTTGGCGCACATCTCCACACTCCCTTCGAAATACCCGATGTCATTGAGAAGATTCACAAGCCACAGCCTCTTAGTGACTACGGCTAAGGAGTTTAGAAAGCTTCCTTGCCTCGCGAGAGGCGGCGGGAAAAAGAGTTGCTCAAATAATACTCTAAATGAAGACGATTGGGATGGTCTTCTGCCATTTTCAATGGGCAAAAACACCTCTGCATTGCTTGCATGTCATGCCATTCACGCCTCCACCCTCGTGAGGACTTTCTGTACAGAGGTAGTTCGGTCTTGCCACTGTGCTGAGACAAGCGTAGCCGAAGTCAGTAGGACAGAGAGGCTACACTCAACTTGCGCAATCCGTGTGCTTGAAACTAGGTGTTGAAAAAAAATAGAAGCCAGAAAAGCTCAGCATCATCAACTCACGTTGACTTCATTCTAAAGTACTGGTATGCAACTGCTGTAAAGGTGCCATATGCAAGGTGCGCAACATAAACATGATGAATGATGCTGCATTGCAAATCTGGACCATGGACCAAGGCTTAAGATCTCAATTCGGCAAATTCCAGAGAGGGGACAGTGAGTCCAAAGGATTGTCCACCTCTCAAAGCCAATACAGGCCTTGACTTCGACATCATTTTGATTGAAGAACAGCACGCTGGACTCCGCCTCCAAGAATACTTAAATAGAAAGGGCCCCCATATGATGTTCGCATCCTCTGTAGGAAAGTGCCCGTGGCTCACAGACAAGGATCCGCAATGTGATTGAAGAAAGAATCAGGACAGTTGTTCGGATCTTGTGACTTACTTATACAAGCGATCAACATCTAACAGTTGCCTTGTGACTTACTCATACAAGAGATCAGTCATTTTTGGCATACGTAGGTACAAGACCTGCTGTTGGCAGTCTAGCCAAAATTTTTGCAAAATCAGTGCAGTCTGCCTTAGGCTGGAAGTGAAATTCTCTTGGTTTTGCCAATCTCTCGTTGAACTGCAGTAAGTACCGTACAGCAGTGCGCGCTGCTTGCTGCACCTTTCTGCCTTTCACATGCGCCTGCGCTTTGTATGAGCAAACACACATTTATAAACATGCATCGAAACACAAATAAGGACCTTTGAACCAAAAGAGAGTCTATGCTCGAAAGACTCATGTTGATGCACACTAGAACGGCTGATGTATTTCTCATTCCCGAGCTCGAGACAAATGTGCTGCAGTCTGAAGTTTCAGTCCTGCGTCCGACCAAAATTATGATATGTCAAGCCTGCTGGATGCATTCAACCTTCTTGCCTCTCCAATCTCCCGTGCTGCTTGATAATCATTCATTAACCACATGACATATGAACCAATCTGGGACATGATGCATTGAAAACAGAACCTGTCGCCTGGTCAACTTCTCTTGCCTGCCCAGCTTACCCACCCACCATTTCGGTCCAGATCTTGTGGCATCAGCAAAAGCATCTGTGTGAGCATGCCGTTCGGTTCTGTGGTCACCTAAGGTCGATAGCCCAGAGAGCAAACAAAAAGAAACCTTCCAACGTATGTGTGTGTGTGCTGCCTTAAGGCTTTCGTGAACACATGCTTCTCTTCAAGAGGGAAAGATAGAAGCACACTTGAATTTTTGCCATGTCAAGTTTGGTCACCTTTCTGACCTTTCCTTGGCCCCTACTCCCTGCCTTTTGCCAGTGGTTTCGCATAATGGTGTTCATCCTGCAACAGATGTGTTTTTGTCCCAGATAGCTGAATGCTACGGAGGTTGTGACTTCTCAGCGACTGGATGGCTGATCTGTGTTTTGGTCAACCACTGCCCTCTTGTCTGCCTCTATGATCGGTACTTTGTCTGCCGCTGCTGCCTTATCTCCCCACTTGTCTCCTTGAATGTCTCCCCACTTGTCTGCCTGTGTGACCAGTTTGTTTGCTGCCTGCCAAGTCTATAAGATAATTAGCAGGTTTTTGCCCTGTTTCAGCTTTGCAAACGAGGGTTTGCGGCTCCAACACAATGAATTTAGATTTGGTTCGACAGGAGCTCAACAACACCCTGCCTCAATTTCTCAAAGTGCTCAAGGGGCTTTAACCAATGAGTTTGAACTGTTTGGCCTGTGTCTCTGTGCCATGAAGATTTTAGGATTTCCAGGGTTGTGCTTTGGAGGCGCTGAAAGTCGCTCTTTTCGCCCAGGCGCAATACTTTGCCCTTTTGCATGTATTGAAAGTGTTTGGATTGGCAGGTTGCAGCTTGGTGAAGGTGTGCATTGCCGCACTATTGAGATTTCGCGGTGGAAGCTGACAGCCACATCGTGCCGGGGGCCCAAAGGTTTGGGCCTAGTGGCTGTGGTAGGTGATCAACACTGCAACGTATCTGACAAGAGTGTCACACAAGAGTGTTCTTCAAGAGTGGCAGACAAGAGCGCCATGCAGTAGTGCTGCGCAAGTGTCCTCACAAGAGTGTCCTTTAAGAGAGGGCGGCCTTCAAGATTCAAGAGTGTCCTGCTTCAAGCGTCTTGCATTCGGCTTCATGAGGTTTCTTCCTTTTGTTCAAAGAGCCAAGTGAGTGAAGCTTCCATATGACATATGTACATCGAGAAACTCTTGGGAGTTGATGAAAGTTGAGTGTGTGCAGTGATTTGCCGCTAGCGCGTAATTACATCAAAACATTTGAGAGAATCAACCCTGCGATGGTTTTCCAAGGTTGAGTGCAATAATTGACTAGTTTGATATTTTGGTACATACATATTTATATATATATATTGGGACGGTCAAAACTCCTTATTCTTCTTCAGCTAAAAAATGGACGTCATCGGTTTTGAGGTGGACCTTATCGTTTTACAGCGTTTTGAGTTCGTCGCATACTTATGACCATATACAGCGCTGGGGTTATCGGTTTTGAGGTGGACCTTATCGTTTTGCAGGGTTTTGTGCACAAACCTACCCCTCTTTACTAAAGTGGTCTTCGCATGTTTTGACCGTGGCTCGTATACATACATGCACCCCTTGTGTATCTTCATCGTTGGTGACAAGGTTCGATGCAACCCAACATGTACTGTAATCCGTTCGATGCAAGGACCAGGGAGGAGGCAAGGACCAGGAGCCAAGACCAAGTGGCCTTTTCCATGGTCAACCGGCAGTAGTTCAGCTCCCCAGTTTTGCATCGCAATGCAGCTTCCACTGTACGCTTGCCACCTGACTGTTTCGACTGCGAGTATACCAGGGCTGTGAAGCACAATGGGCGTTGTTCCTTAAGACCTATTTGAGAGCAATTTTCGGAACTCAAGGCAGAGTCACATAGCTTATATTAAAGCAAAATCATGGACCAGAACCTGAACTCTGATTTGGTTACCAAACGGCAAAGATGGGTTGAATATGATTGAGTGCTTCCATGTCTTGCTGTATTCCCGTGAAATCATGGCATGTTGCACGCAAGCATAGCTCTGCTGCTTGCCTTGCTCCACAACTTCGTTGAAGGTGCCTTAGAGAGTTCGCTAAGGAGAAAAAGAGAATTATGCATGCACATGATCTGAATGAGATCGCGTGGGTGGCTTGACATATTCCTGGTCTCTGCAATAGATGTTTATGTTTCAGCTGAAATGTGTCTACATCCCATGCCAAAGAATTGCGGGGCTGAGGTCTAGGCTTCGGTCGAGTGCCCCATTTCAATCCCACACTCAGCTGGTTTTCTTATTTACATGTGTCTTCTGTGTTCCAAATAATATTATCTGTTGGAACAAGGAAGGACTGGTCAAGGCCTGTCGTTCCAGGCTCTAGATCTGCCTAGCGGCGGTCAAGCTCATAGTTTGTCCAAAGATCTGCTGAAAGAAGCCGCAGCACTTGCTTGCCCTGAAGCTCCTGATAGGCCCAGCAGCTTGAGGCTACTAGGGAGCCCACAGAGAAGCCCAACCTCCGCAGTGCTGTAGGGTGCCTACGCACAGCCTTTCTTCAAAGTAGCTTTTGCAATCTGTTGCTATGCGAGAAGATGACACACTTTGCTTGTGCTCAAACCACAAGATCGAAGTGGTCTATGTGGACGAGCAATCCAAGCATGAAACCTCCAGATCTACCACAGGTAGGGTTTCTGCACCAAAAGGCACAGGATGCTTCTCCGTCACATACATTGTGGAAAAGGTAGGCTCCAACAATAGCACGCAAACCTATGATGAACCTATGATAGTGAATGTGTAAGTACCTCCAAATGCTGCTTATGTAAGCTGCCGCAAACAACACAGTCTTCCAGGAGCTTCATTGCTTTTTGGCCCGCTCGCACTTAATTAAGTAGGCGTCTACTCAAGTAAGCAAGCAGGTAAATTCCTAGTGCGCAGGATAGCTCGCGCTCCATTTATTTGGCTCCTAGATGAATAGCCTAGATGTTTAAAACAAGGCAGTGTTGTGGATCGTTGATTGAGCTTGCGTTGATCTTCATTTGCTGAGCATCCTCACCAGGCCTTTGAATCTCACCTTTTCTGCACGCAGCACTGGTCTTTAGAAATTGGGTCTGAGTCTGAGTCGAGTCTAATCAGCTACAGGCTGTTACACGCGCGGTCAACCAGCCCGCTCACAGCTTCGAAGCAGGAGGAAGAGAAAATCCTGCCACAGGTTACATAGTCTGTGAACAAGCCTCTGTTTCAACAAGAACTGTCATGACAGTCCACAGCTTCGATGCAAACTGAGCTACACGTTGGACTCTTATCAAAGAAGCAACAGCAACGAGGAAAAATGGGGCCAGTGCCAATTTGGCCTGATCGGACCCACAGGCTGGCGCAAGAAGGGGGAGGTGCGATAGAGGGCCACCTTAAAACCCCCACGACAAAGAATAGGCTACGAGTTTGGAGCAGCGACCGAACTTCGTTGCACTTCACAACACTCCACACTGCGGAAGGTGTCCAGCCTCCAGCTGGCTCAAACTTGGAGCCCAACTCGGACAGTTTTGTGTGGGCCTTGCTGTATGCATCAAAAAATGCATCCTTCGAATCTGCAAAGCGGTCGAAGTAGACCTGCCGTTTTTGGAGTGACCGTGACATTCAAAACTTCTACCACAACTAGCACACAACTAGCACAAACAAATCCATGAGTTGGATGACTAGGTGTTTTTCTTTCGTTCAGAATTTCATGAGAGTCAGGAACGTGTCCCGGACGCCCAGCAGTTATCCCAGCCTTAAACTGTGGATCTTCGTGAAGTGCAGCATCGGTGGGAAGCCAAAGCAAGTTCTCATCCTTCGATCTTTTCAAGAATTGGAAATAGCCTCAATCGCAGGACATCATGGAATTGGGTAAACAACGCTAAGACCCGCTAAGATGGCACAGAACATCCAATTCAGCACAACATCGTTTCAGTAACAGTATGTAACTGTAACAGTAATGTTGTATGCAAACTTGCAAAGAAATCCCTTTCACAACCAACATCCATCGACATATTTAATAAGTGTTCGACAATGCTAAGTGGCTGTTGTCAAACGTCAACCAGTTGGAGGTCCATGCCTTGCCACCAGGCATCCCAAAACCTGCTTTGCCATCATGGCGCACAGGGCATCCTGACTTGGTGTAAGGTGAGGCCTCAGCTGTGCCGAAGAAGCCCATGCCTTGAACCTCAAACCCCATGCCTGGGTGCAGGTCGGTTGGGATGTCGGTTGGGATGTATTTTTGTTGGCCCATTCCTACTTAATTAAGTAGGCGCCTACTTAATCAAGAGAGTACTGTAAGCTCCTAGCTAGGACGCAGGATAGCTCCCGCTTCAAGGAAGCTCCCCCACCTGAACGCTCGGACTAGTGATTTGCTTCGTAGATTTTTGAGGAAATGTAAACTGTAATCTTCCTTCTAAGACTATGTTCCGACTTCCGATTTGATGGAACAACCTTCAAAGTTGGACCTTGGCATCTCCGTAGCCATTCTCCACCACGCCACTTCGTTCCTGGCCAGCAAAAGACTGTTTCGGAAAGAGATAAAAGAAAGCTAGCAAAATGTCTCGGAACCGAGAACTTTGTGTCTGGACATTGGCCTGGACCCATCAGCAAAGGAGTGATCTGTGGCAGTGCTTTCCTCTCTTCTTAGCTGCGGCGGCTTAGCGGCCGCTTTCACCAGTTGTAAAGCGACTGGAACCGGATAGACCTTGGAGCCTCTGGACCAAGGAAAGGAGCTGACATCCATTGACCCTCTGTGACCCAATCTCTCACAGCTCGCCTGGAAGGCACGGCCCAATGTGTGTGCACCACTGAGAGCAACGATGCCCTCGTCATCGAAGCCCATGCGGTGGAAAATGTTCCTTGTATACTGATCCGGAGAGTGGTTCAATTGGATACAGTATGGTTTAGAGTCGGTTCGAGTCTGTATTTGTACCCAACTCAAAAAACTGGTGGATCAAGCCAGAGATGCGCACTTCCCTTCCAAGGCTTGGAGTCTTTGGCAAAGAGACCAAACCAAACGCGTGTTTGTGGCGGTTCAACTGGTGAAAATGTCCGAAAGGGCATGGGCCTTTGACGAGGTCGTTACAGCTGCATGAGCCGTTTCAGCTGCTGGAACGCAAGGTACCAGTATATAGTGGGTTGAAGGTTGCAGTGTCGCCAGCGGGGGTTCTGTAGAAGAATTTTGAAAACCTGCAAAACCCACGCCCACCCGACCTCACACTGGGCAAAACCAGGAGGCGGAAATAGAATTTGTATGAACTTGTACCCACAGCTACAAGTGGCTTGCTAGAACATATGTAGTGTATCCTTCTATGCACATGACACAGCAATAAGTGGGAGTGGTCAGGGTACAGCACATCTGTGATCAAGGCTGTTTCTTGCCTACTTTAAGCCACAAATGAAGAGTGCCTCAGGCTCCTGACAGCTCTGCTGACAGCTCTGTTGCATTTAAGCTTCCTCAAGTGCGTGGCAGGTTGTTTGGCTCCGCAGCCAAAAGGTGCCATGGCATCAGGCAAGCCTGCATTGTCCGCAGTTCCACGGGAGGTTCGACCTGGACAAGCGCTGCCATCCTTAACATCCACACGGCCATACTTCATGGGCAGAATGGGGCCACCAGTGACTTGAATGGCGCATGCACTGGCCATTTGGATGAGATCCGCCCAGCTGACTGCGGCATATTTCTGTTTAAAGGGTTTGAGGAAGTTCACGGCCTTGGTCAAGCCAGCATTGGCACCATAGCTGATCTCTGGCTCATGGATGATGGATCCATTGGCACCCCCACATTCTGGCCAGGACGAGATGCGCTTGTCGAAGTTCCCGCTGTCGTGCCATGCTAAGCGCACCATGATGGGAGCACAATTGTTCTCATCAATGAACTTCAGGAGCTCCTCCCTACATTTCACGTAGTGCTCCATCTGTGCCATGGCTAGACCAGGCGTTGACCAATGAGTTTGAGCACGCTGAAAATATCTTTTCAAAATGCAAACTGGTGCCTAACACACGGGCACAAAGCTGCAGGTCTGGACTCACCTTCCCTGAAAAGAACCTTGAACATCGTGGCATTGCACACACGCGACCCTTGGACACAGCACAAGACTCGCTCGACGGTCTCCTGCTTCGTCCAGCCGAAGAGCTCGGCAAAGCCGTCAGAGATCCTTAGAGAACCGGGCTATATGGGCTACGGGAACATGGTAAGCGTCAACGCACGGGTCAGATAGAATATCAACCTCGTCCTCAAGACCAGCCTGAAGATGCCTGAAGTGCCAAATTTCACAAACTGGCAAATATATTAGGGGAACAAAACTAATTCCAACCCTGCTATAATTCGTTGAGTGCGACGCACATTCTGGAGCTAGGGCGCAGTAAACCTTTGCATTGAAGGTTCACCACAACAAAATGGGTGGATATTTTTCCCGGGAATTTTTTTCAAATTTTTTCCGGGAATTTTTTT